TGGAAGTGAGGGTAGCTCAGTCTAGCTCTACATTTATGATTTGTTCAGAACTGTTTCAACCAAATACTGTATAGATGCATTTAGCACATTAAGGATAATGTCACTGGACTCGTATTTAGTGAAGGTAACAGGCAGCAGCAGCTGTTGCTAGATAAATCAGAGGTATTTGTAGATAATGAATGGTGAGGCAAAGACAATGTAATTTTTTACATGCAAGAAACATTGATTGTGTGACACCATTCCATCATAACAACGTTACTTCTGGTTTGCCAGATGATTGATGCGCTGTATACTCCATCTAATCTTCTTGTATGATGGATGTGGGTGCCATAAACTAATAGCTACTCATTGTACTAGTACTGAGTACAAATTTTTGAAGGTCCTGTGGATTAGAGCTGCTGTGTGCTTCAGCCAATGAAATAAAAGGCAAGAAATGCAAAACTTAATGTCACCGTTGCAATGTTAACTCATCCAGCCCATATACAGTTGGTATTTCTGATAACTAGTTAAGGGCCTCACCCTGCATGCCAACACAAGGGAGTAAGAGGGTGTATTGTAAGGGAAGCTGTTGTGTAGTTTATTAATATAGCATCTTAGCCATAGGCAATTGCACACAATACAATAAATACAAATTTTAAATTGATACCACTCCAAAAAAGATACAGATTTTAAAAATACAAATTAACCCTGCAAGTTTAGCCCATGTAACTGAAATATTTTCACTACACAGCAAATATTCTAATTCTAATTCTAATTCTGAGGTGATGGGGTTAAAGGCATATGGGCCAGGAATGGAGACTGCCATTTATTTCTGAGATGGCAATACAGGTTATAAGACAATAAACAGAGTGGTAAGTCTTCAACCTGGCCAGACCTGCAGGGACAAACACAATTGTCTTTTGGAGGGATAGCTCAGTGGTTTGAGCATTGGCCTGCTAAACCCAGGGTTGTGAGTTCAGTCCTTGAGGGGGCCACTTAGGGATCTGGGGCAAAAATCAGTACTTAGTCCTGCTAGTGAAGGCAGGGGGCTGGACTCAATGACCTTTCAAGGTCCCTTCCAGTTCTAGGAGATAGGATATCATTACTAGCATACTTCCCTTCCAGATAGACGTCTGCATAGTCTGGAAACAGAGACCTGTAAAAGCCCTCCTTAACATATTGAGAAGGGAAGCAAATATGGCAGAACCGAAGCATTTCTTCCTACCCCCTCTAGTGAGCAAGACGATCCAGGGATTGGTGAGGAATTGATAGGAGGCTTGGCCTTGTCTCCATCCCCATTACACTGAGCAGTATAAACTGTTCAGGTGCATCAACAGACGTGCTGCACTAAGAAGGAGTTGAATTGGTGGCAGCGGGGAGGGGAAAAGTGGTGGCACTCTTCTAAGGTCTGCCCACGTGAGTCGCCGCTCAGAGTAGATTGCACAGCTGTTCAAAAGATAATCATGTGGGCTGCTTGGCTCCTTGAGCTGGGTTCTTCCTCAGTGGGGCTGTGGGCTTTGCTTGGCTCTGTTGTATGAATTTAGATGGACTAAAGGGCCCAAACAAAGGTATTAACTGAAACTATCCAACATTAAACAGTTTTAAACAAGATTCGCCATTTGGTGTGTAGAGACCTCATCCTGCTTAGTATCTCAGTGGCAAAGACATCATTAAAAAACCTTGTAACCGTCTGTTGAAGATACAGGAAAGAAGACAAAACAGCTAAAGCATTTGGACTATAAAGTGTTAAGTAAGGCTTTCATGTTAACAACTTTTTTTTGTTCTTTTGCCCTTTAGCTGTAGAGAATCTTTAGAAGGAAATCCCCTATTTTGACAGTCTTTTAGATGGTATTAAAGAAGATAATAATTGTCCTTTTGGGGAAAAGAGAACAAATTAGTTGATGGGCTGCAGTTGTCGTGATTATTAAAAAGTCTGATCCCATTTCCTAAGAGAAACACACAAAAAGGGGTAAGAAAAGAACTGCAAAGATAGAAAATGCAGCTCCTGTTTCTAGCTTTGATTCTCACTTGCAACCTCACTGCTGTGAAAACACATGGGTACAAGTACACGGTCTTATCAGCCACTCCAAGACCTGATAAACTTGTACCAGCATTGGGCTGTTTTGAGCATTGCTTTTACCTGCTTCTCTGGTCACAGACGTGTTGCAAAATACACAATCTTGGCTGACTAAGCCAGACTCTTATTAGACAGGAAAGAGAAGAAATAGGATAGGGAAGGAAAAGGACACCTGTGAGGAGAAGGGGAGATGCAGTCTCACATCCAGAATGGAGGTTGGGATTAAACTGGAGAGGGTGGAGGTGGTGGTGGTGTTATCTGAGTACCTCTTTCTGTCCCACTCTGTCCAGCTCATTTCTCAAGGTTAAGATGAAGAAGGCAAAAATGGTGTCAAGCTAGATCCAGGAATCTCAGGGGATGGTGGGGGTGGCAGCCATGATGGTGAAGCTTGTTCCTTTCACTTCTTTCAGTCAGCCAGTGTTGCGGTAACTAGCTTTCCCCCACAGTTTCTTCTTTCAGTGACCCCAAAAAAGGAGTGATGGATGGAAGTAACCCATCTCTTCATGATTTTGTCTACCAGTTAGGCCTAATTTCTGACATACAAGTTTGGGTACACTGATTTCTGGTCCCACACTTTTCTTGTTTACCAGGTATGATCTTAACACAGTCCTTAAATTATATCAGTAGGCCTTGTTGTTTTGGACTAATTCAGTCTTTCTGTCTCCCTTTTGCACCTTTTCCCATCAACATTTATTGTTATAGGTTATTGGGCCACGTATGAACTTTCACTCACTTTTGACAGTTGAGCTCATAGTTACAGTAAATTTGTAGCCCAGATATCACAACAGATCCTTGGGCTTGACTCCTTCATTAGGGGAAAAAAGAAGTGTTTATGCACCCAAAAATGCCACCCACTTGTGTTATCAACATGCACGGTGAATTGTGCAGATCAAGGACCCTTCATCTTCTTTCTTACCTAAGGAATGAAATAGTGAACAATGCTGACATTCAAATGATCACTGAGCAGCTGAGTTATACTGTTACTGAGATGAATGGGGCAGTTCACAACTCTCAGAGCTATTATTTCAGGCTTTCTGCAGGCTCAGGTAGACATCTCTGCATCAGTTATGCTTTGCTCACATTTAGAGGTTTACTTTACAACCATAAAAGCTAGAGACTTAATGTTTTTAAATGAAAGTTGAGATTCTGGAGAACAAGGCAGCAGCTCTAGAGATACTGCTATGGTATATATATTCATACTGGCTGTTCCTGAGCCCTGACAATATACATGGGGCTAATGCAGTTTACTCCCTTCCCCAGAGCATTGGGAAAACCAGGAGGGATACTGTGGCTCTCTAAATTGCTTTGTACCTTGCCCAGGGCAGATTGTATCTTGTGATTTAGCCCTAGGCTGTTAAAATGTAATATTTTAATATTAGAAGGTTTCAGAGTAGCAGCCGTGTTAGTCTGTATCCGCAAAAAGAAGAACAGGAGGACTTGTGGCACCTTAGAGACTAACAAATTTATTAGAGCATAAGCTTTCGTGG